TTAATCTTATAATTAAGTGGCTGGTTGGAGTAAAAATTAAGATATCTAACTGAAAAAGTAGGTTTTCTATATCAGTATGTATATAATTTACCACTATTATTTATCACTGTCATATCCAAAAAATTTAAGGACCCATTCTTCTCAATTTTGAGCGTGAATTTGAGACGTTCATGGTAACCATTAAAACTTTCTAAAATTAGTTTCATTTCTGGCTCAGTAGCCATCAAGAATATGTCGTCCACATATCTAAAAACTAGAATAATAAAGTCCAAATTATTAATACAATAACTCTCAAGAAGTACTATGAACACGAATGTCCAATGGGGTCCTCGTTATCATCAATCATGGCTGATATGGTTATAGATGATCTTGAAAGTCATTGTATTAATAATGTAGACAGTTGGATTTGACAATTGATTTTCCGTTAACATGTAAAGAGGTTTTGCCAAAGAGGAAAATTCTTTCACAAATTTCCTATAATACGAACAAAATCCTAAGAAACTTCTTAACTGTTTCTTTGTATGAGGGATTGGCCAATCTCTCACGGCAACAATCTTTTCCGGATCTGCAGCTACACCTTTTTCAGAAATTATATATTTCACGCCCCAAATATTTCACGTAATTTTGAAAGAAAACAAATTTCTTTGGATTAATTTTCAAATTCGCTTTTTTTAATTGCGAAAATACTAAATTTAAATTTCTGAACATCGCTTCAAAACTTTTTCCAAAAATTATTACGTTATCCAAATATACTAAACATATTTTTGACAATAAACCGTGTAAAACTTTCTCCATGAGCCGCTCAAACGCGGGAGCGTTGCATAAACCGAACGGCATTACCGTGAATTCCCAAAGACCTCTGCCGATCGAGAAGGCCGTCTTTTCTTTGTCTTCCGGTCGGACTTTAAACTTAATAACCACTTTTCAAATCTAATATAAAAAACCAACAATTACCTGAAAGCTGATCTAAAATGTCATTGATCCTGAGAAGAGGATAAGAATCTTTTACCGTGACATTGTTTAACTTCTGGTAATCAACACAAAATCTCAAATTGTCTTTTTTTCTCATCATCACGGCCGGAGAAAGCCAGGGACTTTGTAATTTTTCAATAACTCCTTGTTCCTTCATATCTTCAATTATTTTATCTACCTTTTTCCTTAAGTAAATCGGAATTCGACGAGGTACCTGTTTTATGAAGAGAAAGTCTTTCACATTGATAACATGTTTGATTACATTGCAATTGCCAGCCACAATAGTTTCTGAAAATACATTGCAAAAATCATTCAAAAAGTTGATGAAAATTTCTTTGTGTATTTTGTAAATTGATTGAATTATTCTGAAAAAGTTCTTTTAAGATAGATGGAATTTCAAAAGAATTTTCAATTCGAAAGCAATTATAAATTTCTTTATTTATTTCCTTATCATTGAATTCATTATCCAAAATATTCTGTACATTAATTTTTTTAAGAAAATCGCTTCTAATAGGCAATTATTATTTATTTTAGCAACAAACATAGGAATCATAATAGATTATTTTCTAACTTTTACTACCTTAACCTCACTACTACCTTAAAATTCGATAATTACTTTTTCTCCTGTAAACTATCTAAGATTGCAATTTTTAATTCTAATCCTTTTCATATCGTTATTTATCAACTTTTTATTTAAAATGGAAATATCAGAGCCCGTGTCTATCTTTAAAGAACATTCTCTACCATCTACTTTTCCATAATAATAAAAATCATTATTCCTTATTCTAGCGACACTAAATTCTACTAAACGATTTTTGGGGGTTTGTGAGCAAGTTGAGCGCATCCCGCGCAGCTCAACTAGATTAGACGCGTTTCCCTTTTCTTCAGGACATTCCGAAAATGTCCTGTCTTCCCGCACGTTCAACATTCTTTTCCTTTCGAGGAAAAATTTCCTCGCCATTTCCCTCCCAAAGAATTTTTCTTTCCGTTATCTTTCCGTGTGTCATTCTCGTTCTTTTCGTTTTCGTTCCGCGCGCTGTTTCTCTCCACCTTCTGATAAAAATTCGATTTCTCAAAATTTCTGTTAAATTTTCCAAAATTTTTTTTCTTTTTTCAAAATTTTCTCTCTAAATTATTTTCACCGTTTTTGCTCTCTCAATGGCCAAATTCAAGAAAGTTATTCCCTCTAATTGGAGAGTCCTCCTTAAGAAACCATCAGACAAAGCTAAAACGAATTGTGTGCACGCGATTTTGTCTCTCACCACGAAGGAACATTCCGGATAAGCTAGGCGTGACAACCGTTCTAATTCGGCATCAAATGAAGCTAAATCTTTTCCAAACTTTTGTTTACGATTTGTAAATAATGAATAATAATTCTGGGTTAGGTTTCCCTTACCGAATAAAAGTTTTAATTTCAATTTTAATTCGATGAAATTTAGGTTATCAAAATTTTCTATATTTCCCAAAACCGTCTGCGCTTTCCCCCTAAGAGTCGCGGCTAAAGCAACCGTTTTTGTCGATTCGTCCCATTTATTTGCGCGCGCGATCAAAAGAAATTGCGAGAGAAACTCTCACAGCGAAACTTTTCCGTCAAATGTATCAGGCTTTAACTTGAAGCTCATTTTTATGCAAAGATCGTTATCGGGAATTATATAAGCAAAAGCTCTGTTTTCGGAAAATTCTCCGCAAGTTCTATTATCGGAAAAACTTAGCTGGGTATCCCGTGCGGAGATCTTTTGTTGTAAACGGCGCAACTCCTCGTCCCGTTGCTGTAATTCGGCCTCAAAACGTATCTGCTGCTGGAGACGCTTCTCTCGCAGCTGCCGAATCTCATCTAATGCAGTCTGCAATACGTCTGCTTCTGTCGGCTCCTTACTCACAGTTACTCGAGACGAGGCCTGTGATCGGGTACTTCTCGGAGAATGCAGCATATTGATTTTCTGCGATGATTCTCGGCACGTTTCACAATCTTTCGTAGCTCGTTGCTGTTGTCACGTACCGACAAATTCTCATCACTCTCGGTTAGATTTATCTTAACTCAAACTAACATCCAATACGCGGGATCGCTAGAATTTGCTTATCGTCACGTATTGACAAACTTTCATCGCTCTCAGTTGATCCTAAATTAACATCCGATATGCAGGATCGCCAGGGTTGTTTATAAACCTTATAAACAAACCGAGATAAGGGCCTCCCTCCTTCAAAATTCATAGATGGAGGTGGTAAAATTTTGAGTATAAATAGGCCTGGAAAAACGCTGTGCATCGCAGTTGAAATCTTAACGAAACCTTTGTCGTAGCTATAGTTCTCCCCGAACTTCAACTGTCATCCTTCGTTTTCTTTATTCTTACGTTACGACTAATTCAGTACTTTAGACTTGTAATTTTGTGACCAGTTATAGAATAAAAGGTAATTGATAATACCACTATAAGCTTAGTCATTTGGAATCTGATCCGAGTTTTGATTAAAATTTACATATAACATAAGACATCTCCGAGAGCGGGTAACGGCCTTTTCGCTGACCAAGAGTGTAGCGAATTGGTAACCGGCGCTGCCGAAGAGCGTAGCGCCTACGAACACTGCTCTTGGTGTACGAGGTTATCTACCATTACTCTCAAATCGAGCTCACCCTTTCGCTGCCGAAGAGCGTAGCGAATCGGACTGGTCGCTGCCTTGCGTAGCGACCTTAAGTTCATTTTGGGAGCTTCCGTCGTATTTAACATTCTCATGAAGAAAAGGGCAGGTAAACGGGTACAGCTCAAACGGCTCAGATACCAGATAAAACAAGCGATTAATTCACAACAAGATTTCTTTCACCTCACGCAAAAACTCCAAGATTTAGAAGCAAACACCCAAATCAAGAAATCTCCTACTATTCCTTACCGACTAACTCCTATTAACGTCGAGCCTGACTATCCCGACTATCGCCGTATTAACAAAACTGATCCGCGTTATAAAGTTTATAAATTAAGATTCCTATTCGGCGCTGAAAACCAAGTACACACAACCCGTCCAACTCCGGGTAAAGTATTTTAATATACTGACCCAAAAACGGACGAACGAGAACGTAACACTGTTCAATCCCGGACGAGCCCCCAAAATATTACGTCCTCGGGATGGCTTTTGTAATATCCCGCAAAAGCATCTCTCGCTCACTCACACGCACTCACTCGCGTAATAAGGAGATGAATTTTAATATAAAGACCTAATACACGAAACCAATGAAATATAATAAGTGCATTTATAATGCAAAGAAGCTCTCGTCTCGAGATATACGTCCGCTCGTTGCGAAAATTAGATCAAATTTAATCATGACGCCGGAAAACATCCGCACACCGGTTGTTAATAAACAACTCTCCTAGCGATTATGTTCAGGGGGTTGAAGACGTTCAGGGGATGAAAAACCAGGACGTAACAATATTAATAATAATTAAAGAGTAACAAATGGGCAAAGAGCACGTACACGATCTTGGTGTAAAGTTGTAATAAAATAATAACAGCAATCAGACTTTCGTTTCCGGTGTGAAGGAGAGCGGTCGGTGGGTAGAGAGAGAGCGAAAAATAGGGGTGAGAGTGAGTGAGAAGGAGAGAGAGAGAGTAGCGGTGTGAGTGAAGGTGAAAGAGGAGGGTAAGGTAAGGTGGAGTGAGTGAAGGGAGCTCAGGGAAAGGTAAGAGAGTAGATAAACATTGAGAGGTAAAAGAAAGTGAGGTTAGAGTCGGAAGCGTGGGGTGAGACGGGAGGGCGAGTGCAGAGAGTAGCAGGTGGAAGAGAACAGGTGGAGATAGGGGAATCTAGGGACAGAGAGGCAGGTGGCGATGAGCAGTAAGGCAGAGATAAAATAGAAAGAATAGAGAGGAAACAAACATGATCAAACATAAGCTAAAAGGTGAGGAAAGACGTGGCAGTACAGGGAATATAGTAGACGAGATGGTAAGGAAAAGAGAAAGAGAGGAAAAAGACGAAATGGAGGAGAAGGGAGAATGGATATTCCAAAAAAGTAAGAAGATAGTAAGATCGCCGGGGGAAGATGAGAGAGGAAAGAAAGGAAGAAGATGGGGAGAGTATAGAAAATTTAAAAAGAGTATTAATAAAAGAATTCAAAGAAATAGGGGAGGAGATTAAGACAAAAATAGCGGAGGAAATAGAAAAGAAAGTAGGAGAGAATATAATGAACAAATTAGATAGACTGAAGGAAGACCTGAGAGAGGAATTCAAAGAGAAAGAAAGAAAATGGGAGGAGGAAAGAAAGGAGACAAACGATAGAATTAAATTTCTAGAAGGAAAAGTGAAGGAATTAGAAGTAGAAAAGAGAGAAGCGGAGGAGGAAAAGGAAGAAAACAAGAAGGATAGAAAAGAGAGATTAGCAATGAGATTATAAAGAACTTAGAGATAAAATGGGAGAAAACGGAGAGAGAAGAAAGAAAACTCAATATAATAGTGAAAAGGATAGAAAGTGGAAAAGAAGGAGGAAAAGAGAAGATAGAAGAATTGATAGAAAGAATAAAAGTAAAGGCAGGGATAAAAAGAGTAAAAAAGGTAGGAAATCCAAATAAAGAAGGAAACAACATATTGCTAGTACCTCTAGACAGCTGGGAGCAGAAAAAAGAGATCCTAGAAAACAAGAGAAGACTGAAGGGGAGAAAGGAAATAATTGAGGATGACATCTCATGGGAAGAAAGAAGAACAAGATGGAACTTGAGGGAGATTGCAAGAAGAGAAAGAAGAGAAAGAAAAATGTATGGATAAGGAGAGGAAAGATGAATATAGAAGGAAAATGGTGGTTCTGGAACGAAGAAAAGGAGAAGTTGGAAAATGAAAAGGGGGAGGAAAAGGAAGAAGAGTTGAAGAAGAGTTGGGAAACGGGAAATAAGGGAAGGGAGTGAAGGGGAGAAGGGGAAAATCAAAAGAGAAGAGAGAGGACTAAGTGAAAGAGAGAGAGAGGCGGGGGACAGAAAATGAAAAGGATCGAAGTGAAGAGGAGGAAGATCAAAAAGAGGGGGTAGAGGAAGGGAGAGAGAAGGATAGGAAAAAATTCAAAGGTTGGAAAATTGCATTTTGGAACGTGGCGGGGATGAGAAACAAAGATACGGAATTTTGGAAAGAGATTAAGGAATGGGATGTAATGGTATTCATAGAAACATGGCTAGACAAGAAGGGGTGGGATAATGTTAGATATAAGCTGCCAGAAAATTTTATATGGGAAGTGCAATACGCGAGAAGAAGAATAAAAAATAAAAAAGGAAGAGCGATGGGAGGAATGGTGATGGGAGTAAAAAAGGATTTGAGAAAAAAAGGGGAAGCAATAGAGACGGGGAAAAGAGGGAATAATTGAGGGCAAGATTAGTTTAGGAGGGGAAAAAATGGCGTATAGTTGGAGTATATGTTAATGGAGATCTAGAGAATAAATTGAATAGTATAAAAGCATGGATGGAAGAGAGAGAAGATGAGGAGAGAATAATAATAGGAGGGGATTTCAATGCAAAATGGGGGAGGAAGGAGGATGGTGGAAAGAGGAAGAGGAAGAAGAAGAAGAGTATAAAAGAAATAGAATTTCAAAGGACAAAAAGGTAAATAAGGAAGGAAAGATACTGAAAAATTTCTTGGGAGAAAGAGGCTGGGGAGTACTGAATGGAGGAGGAAAGGGAGATGAGGAGGGAGAGTATACATATACAGGGGCAAGAGGAAATTCGATGATAGACTATATAATAGTTTCAAGAGAAACAAAGGAAAAGATTGAGAGAATGGAAGTAGGAGATAAGGTGGATTCAGATCACCATCCGATAGTTGCATGGATAGAAGGAGAAACGGAAGAAAAGAAGGAGAAAAGACAAAAAAAGGAAAGAAGAGGAATTTGGGACGAGGAAGGAAGAAAGAAATTTAAGGAGAAACTAGGGGAGATTAAGGAAGAGGAGAGAGAGAGATGCAAGATGAGATCGAGAGTATGAACAAAAGAATAAGAGAGGCTTTGGAGATGGGGGTGGAGACAAGTGAAAGAAGAGAAAAGAAGAGTAGAAAATGGTGGAATACAGACTGCGCAAAAATGAAAAAGACAATGAGAAAAAGCCTAAGGAAATGGAGAAAGGGAAAAGGAGAGGAAGAGGAATATAAAGAACTAAAGAAAGCATTCAGGGAAAAATGCGAGGAGAGGAAAAAAGAGGAAGAGGAAAGATTAATAAGGGAAATAGGAGAAGCAAGAACAGACAAACAGGTATGAGAAATAGTGAATAGAGAAAGGAGGAAAAGAAAGAAAGTAAATGAGGAGATAGAAGAAGAAGAATGGAGGGAATATTTTATGAATATCCTAGGAGGAGTGGAGCAGAAGGTTATAAATGGGGCAGGAAAAGAAGGAAGAAAGGAAGAAGGAAGAGAAATAGGAAAAGAGGAGGTGAGAAAGGTGATAAGCAAAATGAAAGACAACAAAGCAATGGGAAAAGATGGAATTCCAAATGAAGTCTGGAAATATGGAGGGGAAGAAATAGAAAAGTGGGTAAGAAGAATATGCGAGAGAGTATGGAGAGGAGAAGGATGGCCAGAAGGGTGGAAGGATGGAGTAATCGTGCCGATAAGGAAAAAAGGAGAAGGAAAAAAAGTAGAAGATTACAGAGGAGTGACACTGATGCCGACACTATATAAAATATACGTATCAATAATAACAAACAGGTTAACAGAAGAGGTCGAAAGAAAGGGAAAGCTACCGGAGAACCAGATGGGATTCAGGAAGGGAAAAGGAGTGATGGACAATGTATACGTATTAAACTACCTAGTACAAAGACAGCTTGGAAAACAAAAAGGAAAATTGATAGCATGCTTTGTGGATTTGAAGGCGGCGTTCGACTCTGTAGACAGAAAAACGCTAATAAAAGCATTGAAGGAAAGAGAAATAGGAGAGGATTTAATAGAAAGAATAGAGGAAGTATTAAGAGAAACAAGAAGTGGGGTAAAAGTAGGGGGAAAAATAGGGAAGGAATTTTGGATGGCAAAAGGGGTAAGACAGGGATGCCCGCTGAGCCCGATGCTGTTCAACCTACTAATGGCTGACCTGGAGGAAGAATTGAGAAAAGGGGGATGGGGAGGAGTAAAACTAGGAAAGAACAAAATATACTCGTTAGCGTACGCAGATGACGTAGTGATTTTAGCAGAGGAGGAACAAGAAATGAGGGCAATGTTAGGAAAAATGGAACAATATATGGGAAAAAAGAAACTAGAATTGAATACGGATAAAACGAAGGTAATGGTATTTAAAAAGGGAGGGGGCAGAAGTAAGAAAACAAGTTGGAGATGGGAAGGAAAAAAGATAGAAGAGGTAAAAGCGTTCAAATACTTAGGATACACACTACAGAGAAACGGCAGACAGGAAGAGCACATAAAGGACAGAATCAGAAAGGCAATGGGAGTTGCAGGAAGCGTATGGGGGATTGGAAAAAGGAAATTCGGAAGGAATATAAATAGACGAATATGGCTGTTCGACACATTGATCTGGACGGTGTTGGGATACGGAGCGGAAATATGGGGATGGGGGAACAGAAAGGAGATAGAAAAGGTAGAAGAAAGATACTTGAGATGGGTGATAGGAGTGGACTGGAGAACACCAGAATACCTAGTAAGAGAGGAAATGCAAAGAGATAAACTAAGAGGAAGGGCAGCAAGAAGAGCATGGAATTTTGAAAAAAGATTAGAAGAAGGAAAAGGAGGGGGGCTAGCCAAAAGATGCTTAGAAGAGATAAAAGAGAGAGCAGAGGAGGACAGGAGGCTAACAGAATGGGAAAAAGAAAGAAAAAGCTTCTTCGAAGAGAGAGGTGCTTGGAAAGAGGGGATAGTATGGAAGAGAAAAGAGGGAATGGTAGAGTTTAAGGTAGTAGAAGGAAAAGAAAAGGAAATACAAAGAAGAGAAAGATGGCAGAAGATAAGGGAATCTAAATACAATAAATGGTACAGGATGATAAAAGGAGAAGGAATCCCAAAATACCTAAAGAAAGGATGGTCGGAAGAGAGATGGAGGAGACTAGCAAGATATAGGTTAGGGAATGAATTAAAAGAGAGCAACTATTGGGAGGAGGAAGAAAAAAGAAAATGCAGAGTATGTGGAGGAGAGGAGGAGACATGGGAGCATGTGATAGAAAGGTGCAGAAGGGGAGAAGAGGGGAACAGGGAGAGCTGGCAGGAGAAGATGGAGAAAATTCTGGGGGAAGAGGGAGAAGGAGAAGAATGGCTGTTAGAGATAGAAGGGTGGAGAAGGGAGGAAAGAGAGAGGGAGGTGAAAGAAAGGGAGAGGGAAGGAGAAGGAGAAGGTGAGAGAGAGAGAGGAGTGTGAGTGAGAGAGAGAGGGAGAAGGGTGAGTATGAGGGGAGAGAAAAGTAACAGAGAGTAAGAAGCAAAGCATAAACCGGAAGCGAAGGTCCAAAAAATAGAAATAAGCAATAAGCGGTATTTAGTAATATAAGAAATAGTAGCATAAGACAAGTAGGATAAGAAATAGTATAAGAAAGGTAGGATAATAATGGTATAAGAAATAGTGTAAAGCAGATAAGTAGGCGATGTGTGTGTGTGCGGCGTAGGGTTAATTTTAAGAAAATTTTGTATGGAAAATTGTAACCCAAATTGGGAACAATAAAGAAATATCTAATCTAATAACAGCAATCAATTGTCAAACGTTTCGGTTATTATTTAACCATCTTCAGTGACAAATTAAATACAATAATTAATATTAACAAATAATTGGATAAATAAGAATATTTATTATACTTTTAGAATAGCAGTGATATCAGTCAAAAAACAACGATCTATCTCGACATATCAAACGGAATAAAAGTCACTCGATGAAAACAATTATATTTCGAGGCACCGACAAAACTAGAAGAGAGGGGAGTCAAAAGGGGAGAGGGAAAGGAAAGAGAAAAGGAAAACGGGTAAAATTAAATGATGGATAAGGAATTGATAATTGAGGAGTAGGCGTCAGGGAAAAGTTCGGTGTCACTTTGTTTATTTAAGCTATTCTTTTGTCCCTTAATGTGCAACATCTCAGAAATCAGTTTTTTTGTAACGATGTTCAACATCTAAAATTTGTACACCGTCCCAATCAAATTTATGATTGTTCACGCGGTGTACAGATATTACAGACGGAGATGCTGCATTTCTGAGAATATCAGACCGATGTCCTCTGACTCTAGTTTTTAGTTTTCTCTTCGTTTGGCCTACATAAGTAGCATTACCGCAGAAGATTCTATAAACGACATCACACGCATTAGTATGTTCCAACTTATCTTTGTGTATTTTTATGATGTTATTGAGATTCTTGGCTTTTGGAAATGCAGTTCTATATCCAAAACTTTTTGTTATTAAATTAAATTTATTTTCCACTGAGTGAGCATAAAGAAACAC